TTTAATAACTAAACCTAACCTAACTAATTGATCAATAATGGCTAAGATATGGAGACGATGGAATGAAAGGTTACAAGAAAAAAGAAAAAACCTTTGATTATCAAGGAGAGAATATAATTGAAGGACCACGTACATGAGCTAATCCAAACGTCAACGTCGTGCCAAGAATAAAACTGTGCACGAGGGTGTTGTGCACACGTGCCTGCATGATGCATCCCTTCGATATAAATAACCTAAAAAATGCCTGCTAGCTAGTTATATAAATGTATGCATGTCTCTATCCAAAACCAGTCAATAAGGTTCTATATCCAAAGTTGAAAATTATTTTCAGGATAAGTGCTCAATTGTACTGATTAGAAAGAGTTAGTGGTACCAGTTGGAATTAATTCTTCAGACAATAGAATTCACTTAGGGCTGCAGAGTCCCCATTGTACGCGTAAAGAAGAACAAATAGTGTAAAGTAAGGACCACTATTTAACTGAATCAGTCAACTCTAGCTAGCATATCAACTGCATCAAAATCACATGGATAGACCCCACACCAACTTTTACTATAAACAGTGAATGATTAGATAACCTAGGATTTTCTTTATCTATGTGATCCGATGAGGTTTAGGTAATCAAATCAATCATTAATTCTTTTATTTTTAATTATATATCATTTTCAATATATTTTATCAAAATTAAAAAAAAATTTAAAATTTATTAATTGTCTAAAAATTTTAAAAATTTTTAATTTTATTCCTATTAAATTTATATATTTTAATAATATACTTTCTCTCGTTAACATTTAATAAATGTTAAAAAAATTATGATAAAAAATAAATGACGTGATTTATAAATATGAATAAAAAAATTATTCTCCCTCTATTTCATTACCAGAAGTAAAGACAGTAATAAAGTAGTGTAATGGAGGAGACAGATCATATACAAACATTATCGAGGGACGAGGGGCTATTAGGAACATAAGGGTGAGTTAACTTTATTATTTGATGTAAAAAGATGTAAAAAACCTTCACGCTGAATGAAAGTCATATAAATTATGGTATATAATTATAAAAATTGAATAACGTATAAATTTATTACCAGAGACAGACGGATCTAAGGGGTTGCCCGAACCCCCATAATTTTTATTTACTTTGTATGTAGTTTAATTTTTCTTTGTAAAAAATGATAAAATTAATTTTACATAGCTCACCATATGTTACATGTAAGTTGGAATCCCCCCCCCCCAATATGAGGGTCTAGATCTGTCACTGCTTACTACTATAAGGTTTTGGGTTAATTAAATATGCCATGTCATTAAATCTACTTATATACATTTTCTCATCAAAATTAAGGTCTCAACCTTTCAAAACGTTCAAACCCTAGATAAACCCACAAGGCCAAACTTTTATATTATAGGTGAAATCAAATCGATATCAGATCAGATTAACTAGTCAAATGCTAGGTTGCGAGAGCATTATTTACATGATACCCCACGCACGCACAAACAAACGTTGAAGGACAAAGGAAATTACAGAGAGTGATAAGTTAGTGACAGATTTGACAAGGAAAGTGACTAGGTGATGCAATTAAGGCTTTTTGTTCCTCCATGTTGGGTGAAGGACCAGACAATGGTGGAAGCCCATGTGATGCCATGTGGGCATCTCCCCGTTTTTGAGCATTCTAGTATTTTTTGTGTGCTCGGCCGTTGCCCTAAGTAACGGCTTAAATTTATTATTTCGATAACGTTGCTCATCATGATTGAGACCCTCCTTCGAAGTGGTCCTTTGACATTTAATTTGAGGGACATATGTCATGAGGCTCAATCATTTTTGAAGTGACTTAATATCTAAACGAAGCAGATGAGGTTTCGACAGCTGTGTGGTGAAGATGGCAGATTTTGGATAACGCAATCATCTTCTAATTATGAGTTAATCATTGACTAACCAATCAAAGGGAATAATAAAACTAATAAATAGAGACGGCCTACGTCTAAGACAATGGGAGCAGCTGACCTTAGTTGCGATATCGGAAAATTTCACTTGCCCCTTCCACAAAATTATCATTCCCCCCCCCCCCCAAAAAAATTCAGCCTTCATTCTTTATTGCCTGAACATTTTCTCACTCATTTAACCAAGGAAATTAATATGATTATTACTGATTTTGCAGGAGATATATATATATATATATATATATATATAAACTAAAAAGAATGTTGGTTCATATTATAAATATAAGTATATAATAAAATATTATTATATATTTTTTCAACTTCTCAATTAAAATATTAATATTTATTTTCTAAAATATAATAAGGTCAGATTCTTTAATTTTTAAGTTATACTCTTTCATACTCAAAGGTAACACTTTCCAATAAAATATTTTTGATGGTTTATATTGAACAAAACTATTCTAAAAGAGCATGATTTTTTGCATTAAAAAAGAGTATCCGGGTTTGATATTAATAGCTACCACTTATTCTATCATTTTCAATAAAATTTTTTGCTATAAAATTAAAATAAATTAACTGTTTAATATTTCTTATGTATTTAATTTTAAAAAAATTATTTTTATTAATTTAATAAATATTTATAATTATATTTATAAAATATTAATATTGCTTGATATAAATTTTGCCCACTGCTACTAAAGGAATAGTGTAATTATTAATTAAATGCGCTAACTACAAAAGTTAAAGTCGTTTCTAAACACTATAAATCACAGACATTATCATCACACGGAACAACTTAAAAGCTACAAGGGGTGCAATGGACGAGTGTCACTGTCATGCCCAGATTCTTCACTTTACAGACAATGGAACTTCCATAAATAAACAAGTTGATGAAGACCCTTTGAAACGTTCAAAAATCAATCATAATTCATACATGCGAAAGAATTAAGTATATATTTTTCACGATCTTTAATGAATGTATATTAATTTAAATCTGATCCACTAGCTTGTTCTGTAGTGATTCTGAAGGGTTGATTAATGAAGCACTAATTATATTATTGTCATTGTCAGCTAACTCAGGACAGAGAAACAACAAAGTTTAATTTGTTGCTTTAGTTAATTAATCATCAAACTGGCTGTATTCCTAGCTTAAGAGATCATTAACCAACTTTGATACGTACTCGTTTTCCATCTAACATACGTGTTAGAAAGTGGGACCTCACGATCATGACATGAAATATTTAAAGAGCTAGCCACGGCTAACTGCGCCCCTAAGACCTTCCGGCTTTCACACACACGGGCGTTTTCCGGATTAATAAAATTAAATTAAAATTAAAAATTAATTAAAAGACTGTAGTATTAATCAAATTAGAACTAGTCAATTAACATTTCTTTAGGGTTCGAAAAGACGATGTCTCCCTCATAGCCTGTTAACTAAGATTGCCGATTCTTATTTTCAACAAATTTATTGGAATGACTAGATCTTTATACATCCGTGTAAAGAAATATTGAATTGATGCATGGGTTCCCAAAACGATTATTAAAATTATATATGCGTACCCTGCTTCACATAGTGTGCAGAATGCATCAAAAGATAAAGTATAACTAAATATTTTTTTTATTTAACAATAAAATAATCACGATTTCGACTCAAAATAAATAGAATTGCAAGTATATAAAAATTAAAGGATATATTCCCTAATAATAATAATAATAATTTTATTTTATTTTTATCGATGACCCTAGTAGTAATAATAATAATTTTAAACAAAATAATTTTTTCCTCAACGGTAATTATTTGATCAATTTTACTTTAAGGATTTTTTATTTTAAAAAATAAAAAATAACTACGCAGTTTAATTTGGACGTCTATAAGATTCAATTGCTCTACAAGTAATCATAATTATTGACTTATTAATTGATCGTGATACAATGCTAAACTATCAATACCCAAATTAGCTAGTAGAGGAAAAACATTTTATAAAGTGAAAGGAATTTTAGGTTTTCTTATCAGAATTTGAGAGGGTACTAACCTCTAGGAGGCATGATATGGCTGAAAAAGTGCTTGGATTATATATATGAAATTTGAGTTAAAAAAAAAGGTTCAACATGGCATTTTTAATTAAATCAAAAATATAATGATGATTTAGCCATTTGTTTTTAAAATTACACTATATTTACATGTTTACTCTTATTTAGTGAAGTGTTTCAGTTAAAAAATTATTAATTAAACCCCTAATTAAAGACATTTTTTAAAGTAAACTTTGTTAATTGTACCTCCAAAATACCTTGTATCTTTTGATACTAAAAAAGCATCTTATATTTTTAATGGGAGAAGTATTTAAATTTTTGGGGTTTAATTAATGAATTTTATGATCAAATAAGGCCCCCGAAAAAATCAAACATAAATCAAGTCGAGTAGTTTAATTAGGAAAGGGAGGGTCAGTTTCAAAACCACTGAAAATAGAGAAGGAAGCGAAGATGAGTGGACAAATTAAAATGGCCATTTTTAAGGTGTCCATTTATTATTCCCAATGATATGAGCACGTAGCACCCCCACAAACATGCGCCCAGCGGGCAGCCACAGCTTTCAGCGACCAAACGCATCCCAACTCTCCTTCACGTGGACGTCTCGTGCGCTCTCCCCCTTTCTCCTGCTGACTTTTTCAATGTACACAAATGCCCACACAGAGTCAGTGATAGTACTCCGTCCATCACTCAAAATATTATAGTTCGATAGAGTTCGTACAAAGATGAAGGCATCAATATTGTTGCAATTCGGCTTGTTCTTCTCGTGCCCTACATGGGACCCCAAGGGCCATACCACCCTGTTCTCTCTCATGGACACCTTGTAAGCCCCACAATATCTAGATTCCCTCCCTCACCCAAACACGCCCCATCATCACCCTACTTTTCACTTCCTTCCTTCCTTCCTTCCTTCCTTCCTTCCTTCCTTTCTTCTTCTTCTTCTTATTTGTCTTCACCCTCCCCCGACGCCTATATATATACCCCCCCCCCTTCGTGTTCCATCTCCTTCTGTGTGCTTGCAGTTGCAGACACACACACACACACACACACTTTTGACAAGATCCATCATTATATATTCACACATGGCAGGGGTTTGGATGTTCAATCAAAACGGTGTGTTTCGGCTGGTGGAGAACCCGCAGGCCGAGGGGCCGTCGGCGTCGGAGAATGGAAGGCACGGCGGGGGGAGGAGGAAGGTTCTGGTGTACTTGCCCACAGGGGAAGCGGTGAGGTCGTACGGCAGGCTGGAGCAAATATTGTGTGGATTAGGTTGGGAAAGGTACAACGGTGGAGACCCGGATTTGTACCAGTTTCACAAACATTCTTCCATTGATCTCATCTCTCTCCCTCGTGACTACTCCAAGTTCAACTCTGTTTATATGTACGACATCGTCGTCAAGAATCCCAGCCTCTTCCATGTCAGAGATGGCTGATATATATGCATCTTCGTCTCTGTCTGGCACATGAATGTTGTCTTTCTGATCATTGATTCTAATCTATGTATGTTTAATTGTAGTGCGTGTTCTTTTGATCATTCAGGTCATTTTTTCACTTGTAAGTTAGTGTGTATTTACTGTTTTTTTTTTCCCGATATGTAAGCGGGTGTGTGGTTTTTTTCTGGCTAGATGGTCTATGGGAGAACTCTGGCCGTTGAATGTGTTTGTGTGGCATATTTCTTCCTGGTGAAGAAATGAGGTGTTTTCGCAGTATGCTTTGCAAGTTATTTCAGACTTTGGTTGTGTAATGTAGTAATGGATTTAGTTGTGACCAGTTCGATCCCTGTTGGGATCCAAGACACTGTAGTTTAATTTGTCTGATGTGATTTACGTGGATAACATATAGATACATCTGTTTTCAGTACTCCACTTATACTTATTGCTTGCTTTTCCTTCTAATACGATTATTTGAATATCTAGATCAAATTTGAACATGGACAGGTTTAGTTGAAGGCTTTCAAGTGATCTCAGTCCTAAAATTAAGGGAAATAAAATCCCTCCTCCCATGTAATTAATTAGATCAAGGAAAAACAACAATTCAGCAAATAAATTAGAGAGAGGTGGGTTTGATTTACACGTTGGCTTTATTTACTAGGTCATGAGTTTGTTTCAAATGGAGTGGCCGGCCCATCAGGCTCCAGAGTACTAAAGTCAATCCCACCATTTCAAGTTTTTGTGAATGATGTATGTATATATCGTTTTTTTTTTTTTTTGTAGTTTATATTGAACATTAATGATCGGTATGAAGGAGGAGTTTTTTTTTTCTTACTTTCGCACCCATCATTGTGAAGTGTCTAGATATGCTGGATTCATTACTCACGTAGTCAATTTCAGATTAATCTGAATCCTCACTTATAGATAAAGTCCTCTAGACATGCTCAAAAATAGATAGTGCCAAATCTTTGATAAAGGCTCAAAAAAAGTTGGCCTATTCAATTCATGTCCACTAAAAAAGTGACGAACTGATGGTGATAGAATTTTATTTTTCAACGCCTTCAAAAAAGAAGATGAACTGAACTTAATCAAAGTGATGAATTGTTGCACAAATCAAGGTTAGTTTGGTCTTAAAAAAATTTTCAGCCCTGGATTATTTTTGCAGCATCAAGGGTGGTGGTAGTGAGTATTTTCATTAGAAGTGAGCGTTGTTTTTATTGTTTGGTTTGGTTCTAATTTGAAGAAACCAAGAGACCAAACTACACCAATGTTTTAGACCAAACAAAACCAAAGTACTAGAAGTAACCGAATGAAAACCAAACCAAAGTTTAATGGTTCGGTTCGGTTAGATATTTTGGTTATTGAATAGCTACCATTTGAGAACAATACTGACTGAAATTGGCTGAGATGAAGAATTGAGAACAATACGAACCAACTAAGAAGGAAACAATCAACTGAGATGAAGCATGGAAACAACCAACTGTGAACAATATGAGCTGAGATGAAGCATAGGGAAGTATAATATTTTGTTACCGTTTCAGAGTGTCTCTTGGCTGAGATGAGACAACAGAAATGGTAATGGAGAAGGAGAGGCGAATTGATCAGTTGAGATGAGACAAAAGGCAGAAATTGCGACGGGAAGGAGATGTGAATTGAGATGAGACGAACGGAGGAGAGGCAAGGGTTTGGACTTTGGAGTGGTTGAGTTAGAGCGTGCGGCAATGAGAAAATGGGAAATGATTAGGGTTAGGATTTGGAAGTCTGACTGTAAGTTGGAGATAATATTAAATGCGTCAAATGGGCTGGGTTAGGGTGTCTTATTTTCTCATCTGAATGTAATTTTAAAACTATGAAATAACTTTTATGAAGTACAAAAACTATATATTATATTTTTCAAAATAAATATTATTTATCTTCGTATGTTCAATCTATACGATTTCTTCCTATCCAAATCAAACCGGACAAATTGAGTTGAATATATCAAACTTAATTTGATTTGGTTTAGTTTTCATTTTTAATTTAGTTTTGCACATCTCTAATTCCCACCTAAATTGGATTGGGCTTGGGACTAAATTTTTTTATTTTCACCTATCAAACATAAAAATATGGTATTACCTAATCTCAATCCCTCATTCCTTCATATCAAATAGGGCTTATAAAGTTCTAAACTGTTAGAAGGGCCTGTCATTTTCAAGTGTTACAAATGTTTTTTTAATTATACATTTATACTCAATATTATACATTGGAGGGGAGTATTATTTTATTTATTCCTTCTTTTTAGATCCTACGCTTTTTGCATACAAGCTAACTGTAATTAATTTCAGTCACAAAGGATGTGAATTGTGAGCCAAAAAAAATAAATTCAAGTCTTCAATATTACATCACCTACTAAATATTTTCTCTTTTTTATTTCACTACTTGACTGAGTCATATTCAGGGATGAAACCAGCCTTTTGAATGTGGGGACTAATATATATGTGTGTATATGTATATATATATATAATCATTTTAAATATTTATTATCATCATTTTTTAAATTTAAAATATATTATTAGACGATAATTTATGTAGAAGTATAATTGCATAAGGATTTCAAGAAAATTGAAAAAAAAATACAAGACACCTTATATCTAATATATTATTTTTTTAAAAAAGTTATATGGAACACATAAAAATGTTTATATTATAAGTATGTTTTGTCTTTTACAAATTGATATTTTAAAGAAAATATGATAGATAATAAAAAAAATCAATATATGCATTGAAAATTAAATGTTTGACAAATTTAAATGAGGTTTAAATGGCAAATTTGTCAAACTTTTTCTCTAGGGGTGCCTGGCACTCTAAACTTTTTTATAGCATTTTTTGTAAAATCTCACTCTACTAATCACAATTAACCAACAAAACTCATGGAAATCAACAGATTAACACAAAAAGGTGATTACTAAGTTTTAATTCAAATTCAAGGGATCACAAGTTTTTAAAATCAAAATGAGTTCAAAACAATCAAAATCTCTTATATTAGAGTAAAGACAAGTTACGAAAGCATGTGATATCTCAGAGTAATGAAAAAGGATGAAAACAATTGAAAAATAACTCCTTTGCTATGAAACAGAACGATGCGTTGCGACTCGTGCACGTTGCGCCGTGGAGTGTTGTTTTATGTGCCACGTGCCATGGCTCAGGCGCCATGCATTACGGCATGTTGCACAAAAATATCAGTAAATTTTGCTGTCATTTGATGACAGAATTGGGAAACTTTTAACGCGTCCTGATTCTCTGTCCAACGTCTGAATGACATGATTTAGATATTTACAAAAGCTCTTTACATAATCTAGCTAATGACATAGGTTTCACTTTCAAAATAATTCATATCAAGAAGTTAGACACCCAAACACATTTTGACCACTTTTCACAACTTTCACATAAAAAAGGTGTCCAAAACCCACAACAAGTGCCAAAAGTCTTTTGTAACACCTGAACCATGTCCATTGTATCTAAGACTATCAGTACAACACGTCACACGCACTTAAGCACCAGCATAGTATAAAATCACTCCTTAACCCCATTTAACAAAAAATAAAAGGGGGAGGCAAATATTATTGCATTGCATTCAAACCAATCAAGACATGTTTAAATCATTATTTTTATACTTGCACTAGTATTTTAGCCTTATCAACAAATATATATATCACCTTACACAAATACTTAGGACCCAAAATACAATTCAAACATTTGCAACAACCAAAATAGTGCAAGTGCAATGGTATGCAATCTTAGAATTGACAATCATATACTATTATACAAAATAGATCCAAACTAGAGGCATACAATAGGAATGTACTAATTTCTAGTATCTTGAGCTTTTTCTCTCTCTATACCAGAATTAGAACCTAAAAAGTGTTAAAGAAGAAGGGTGAGTCTAGCCACTCAGTAACCAAGGTAAAACCTACCCCATACAGCTATACATCAATTGTAAATCAAGTACATGCATATGAAATCAAGTACTTAACATATGCTCTAACACAAATCATAACTTATCAATCCTAATTAGCACATTTTTACCTCACACAAACTAGGTATGTAATCACAAGACACTCACACATGTGATGATGACTTGCCACAACACACGACTTAACATAACTCAAAAACATGTGACACGTCATAAGTTTACATAGGTAATGATCAATCAATCTCATAACCTCCTTATTTTCTCACACTGAAACTATGGGTTATATCATTGAATAGAGCTCCATTCGTGTGACTAGATTACCCAAGCTCACCAATTGTGAGGTATGACCTAGACAAAGATCACATGACTCACTCTCAGATCACGGCTTCCCCTATTCTCAAATCTCTAGGGTGTCTCATACCCTAAGCTATTTTCCTCATTGAACTAGTAGAGAAAGCTAGGTTTTAGTCCCTCAACAAATTATGAGATAATTCCTTAACAAATTATGAGACAAGGCTATACCCCTGTGCACCAGAGGGCAGTCTAAATACCATATAAATTTTTTCTACTCCCAATCCCTAGGAAAACTCCCGCCCACTGATCATATCATATACGATACTCACTTATTTTTACATTTTCATTCATCCATTATCCCAATAATCACATTGGGGCTCACAGCCATGCGCTACCCAAGTGAGCAACAAGTTTCATTTCTCTTATAGCACATAAACACAGCATTTTAAATCTCAATTACTCATCTTTATTAAGACCATTATCCACTATTCATTCAAACACATTAAAAACATGAAATTCATCTTGAATATCACTTTTACAACTTGAAACTTATTTTGTAATCTCTTTAGTATAGTTAATACATATCAAAGTGTTTAAATAAATGTAAGGTTTCGTTGCATGATGTACTCGTTCACAAGTCAAAATTTACATGTTTAATACCCAATTCACTTCATATTACAATTAATAAACAACTATCCAAAATAGGGTTCTCCCAGTTACTCCAAACATTTAAGAGGTCAAAGGTTTACCCCTCAATATAATAGCTTCCAAGCTTGAATTTCCAAGCCAAATAGGTATCCTAGAGCTTAATCTATAATTAAGTTAATCTCCATTAATATTGCCACACTCAAACATTCAACTCTCATTTCTCCAATTCTAAATTGCCCAATGCTCACTTTACATGAGTTTGAGCCTATCTATTAGATTTATTAATTATCTTAAGTCTCCATTAATAATAATGAGCTATCAAACTCTCATTAATGGCATCACACTCTTTCAACAATCTATATTAATGTAAATTTTGGATATTTATGGTGCCCAACAACCCAAGACATTAAAATTTATTATATCTAAGATGAGATACTCCAATCTACTCTTATTAATTCTATTTGAGCTAATAGATTCAGACCCATAATCTATAAGGATCAAAAATTAACTTTCACTATCAAACCCTAACCATAAACTCATAAATATGAAAGAGATAAGGAGATTAAGGAGTGTAATAATTTTCTTAGGTGTTTATAGCTTCCTAAATACTATCAATGTCGTCCAAACATAAACTCTAGTAGAGCTTGGCATGCCTTTTCATTTTCTCCTTTCTCTCCTTTTCATTTTTGTCTCAATTTCGCATTTGATAAATTATAAAAAATGATCATGCATTACAATAAACGCATAATGCATCACAGCATATGGCACAAAGAGGTCTCTATTCCCTATTTGAAGTGTCTGTGCACCATGGTGGATGCTTTCCATGTCACGACGTGTGGCACAACAATATTAATCCTTCATTTTCTTCTCCTTTTGATGCCCGGGTGGCTCGTATTAATATCGGACTCATAATTAAGGCTAAAATACAATTGAATATTATTATTAGAGCTCCCTGAATACATATCACTATAACTTATTCAATTATCCTAATTAAGTTTAGTTAGTCAAGAAATTAAAAACTGGGATATTACATTTTTACCCTAAACTTTTTAACAAGAAAGCATTTTTTTCCCACCGTTAAATATAAAAAAATATTGATTGTTAAATTGAAATTTATCTAAGGGTTAAATGGCGTATTTGCCCTAAAACTTTTTCTTCAGGAGCATTGGGTATCTTAAACTTTTATTTGGAGCTCATTTACCCTAAAAGTTATTAAAAAAAGAGTAACTTTTTCCTCCCTCCTTCTTCATCGTTCTCTTCTTCTTCCTCCTCCTCCTTTTCTACTAGCAAGTTCCTACACTACTATGGATTGGAGTCCAAATGCAAGCAAGAAATCATCCGAATAATAATAGGTAGTTTAAAATCATTCGAACCTATACCTATACTCGAAGATAATCAACTAGCCATTGAGTCCATCCATATGAACTCAACCATATGGAAGCTCTCTTCTTTTATATTTGATAATTCCACTATCTCACTCAACTATAATGATTCAATGGACTCCGGCCTTGACTTAGATACCTCTGAGGGCTTCACGGCATCAAACATGACCATAGTGGCGATGGCAAAAGCAATGGCTTGGATGTTAGAGCAAGTGGCAAGCTGAGGGAGGATAAAGGCAATCTAGAGGAGATTAAGAATGGTAGGTTTACCTTTAATGGATAGAGCGGCGACATTGTGGGCTTGAGTAGTCATTTCTAAGGAGGAAAAGTGCTGAGCCAAATCTCAAACACCCATTTTTTCCAACTTCACATTTGGACTCTAATCCATGGTAGTGCAAGATCTTGTTGGTAGAGAAGGAGGAGGAGGAAGAAGAAGAGGATGATGAAGAAGAAAACTTCTAGAGCAAATAAGCTTCAAACAAAAGTTTAGAATATTTAGCATTCTTGGAGAAAAGTTTTTGAACAAATATACCATTTAACCTTTGGTCAAACTTTAATTTAATGGTCAATGTTTTGTATATTTAATGGTGAGACAAAAATATTCTCTTTTTTCCATTTAACTATTTAAATTATTATTTATTGATATTGTGTGCAAGTTGAGTAACAAAAGTATTAAATATTTACTTATACAAATAAACAATATGTATAATAATTCAAGACAATTTAATTAAAAAAATTAACGTGTTTGTATGTTATAAATACATAGTTTTTATTTTCATTAACAAAATGTTAATATTTAAAAATAACTACATATAATATATTTTATTAACATTCAAATATGAAAATATAAGAGATGCATGTCTATTGTATCACGCACGTATGATATGCTATGGAGGTGTCATTATGTTGCTTTGTGAGGAGTGAATCCAATTAATTGGACACATGGCATATACATATGATATTGAGGGGGTTGGGTGGAGGTGGTCACGTCACCACAAGGACCAACGTAGATCATATTCAAGCGTTGTAAGGTTCACCTGGAAGTGACCCCTACAAGAACATTTTAGCCTGGGCTTTACATTTCTTCTTCACGTTCTTACATTATGACGATGCCGAGGCCAGCCAGCTCATGTGTCGGATATTGGGCCAGAGCCATAATAGCCCTTTGGATATGGGCCCAAATGAACTTCGCTTGGGCCATAATGCTGGGCTCAGGAAATCCTTTGATCGTTTTGTATAATGTCTGGAAACATGGATAATTGTGGAGCAGACAGATGATCCCCCCCCCCCCCCAAAAAAAAGGACTTTGGACGTCGAGGATTATTAGTATGTAGATTAAAAAGTAATAACACTACTAGTATATGGTATACAGATGATTCTTGGAGGACATGAAAAATTTTAATAACATTAATTTAAAAAATGGATAAATGAGATTACAAATTTTAATAAAAGCATATAAAAAAGAGCAAGGGAAATCCATATAAAAGAATAAAAAAGAAAAAAAATGCAAGGAAAATAAACTAAATTTTTTAAGCTCGCCACTCCTTTTTTTAAAAGAAATCAAACTCATTAAAACTTATCCTCCTATTTCTCTTCTCATGGAACCAAGGATTAAATTTCAGTCAACAGCTCATAAATTATAGATACCTTGTTTAAAAAATGCGGCCATTTGACTTTTATCTGTGCAACCATCCCCAACTTTGTTTGAAGAGTCATAACTTCACATTCATGAAATTTATCTTTAATTATTAATAAAACAAATACGAATCTTTTTGCATGGAACCATCATGCTTGAAGAAATCAATTCTTGTGCCATTATATACTACCAAAAGTAGCCAAGAGAAATAAGCTAAAATCTTCTGCAACCCTAAAGATTACAGTCCATGAACAAACATAGCTCGTTCAGTTCAATCTTCCATTAATTTAATCCATCCAGAAACTTATCTACTTCCTCTTCACCCCAACGAAAAAAGACAATCAATAATGTAGGTCATAGTATCCAGGCGGTTAAATACATCAAGCTTGCTTGTAATGATTGTCGTCAATGGTGGAGTATACTAATCCATCGTCGCCAAGTGTTTTCAGAGACAACCTACCATCGCAAACGGTTAAGTTAGTTGTAATTTACCAGACACATGCATAGCAATACTCATATTTCAGATAAACAGAGGGAGAGTACATGATCTTGTCCAATGGAAGTTTAAGTTCTCGAGAAAGCTCATCAACATGTATTCCCCTTTCATCAGACCTGAAATTTCGAAAATGATTCAATTTTTTAATAGTGGTATTCACAATTCAAAAAAGTTTAATGAAAACTGAGGTGAGAAGAAAAGCACAAAACATAAAATTCTCATCGTATAACTCACATGTCTGAATGCTGATTCAGATAATCAAGGACCAATTTATCACAGTCCTTGAGCCCATCCACGCTATATTGTGCATATAACTGAGGTATAGAAAATTATTAATCAATCCAATCATACACAAAAAGAATTTTAACCAAAACTTTTGACAGATCAATCTCATACTGGATTAGATGATGGTGCCTGATGTCCATTTGATACATGAGATGTGGTTAAAGATGAAGGGCGTGCAGGAGTAACTCCTTCAACCTAGGAAAAAGAAATTCAAAGAAATGCATTTCGTTTGATGCTGTTAACTAATGACAAAAATGGACTTGATGCACGCAAGTAGGAAAATATCTACCTTTACTTTTGAGTGAAGATGATTATGTATGCAATCGATAAAGTGAAAAGAAATCTCATCAAAACTCATCACCGGCCTGGAGAAAGTAGCACAAGTATAAAGTAAGAAAGACAATCCAACCAATCCAGCAAACTATACATCTTCTCTAAGAATGATTACATTAATGGTTAATATAGACGATTACTTTTCAATTTCAAGCAATATTAACGTGGTTCAAATGTAAACCCATCAAGAGAAGTAACCAATCTTCAAATTTCAATGCAATGAGTGAATATTATTGAGAACAGAAGTTGAAGATCTAAATGCTATCTAACGTCGATAGCAAACTCCACACATTGGGTAGGACCAAATAATAATTACCACTGCAATTAAATTGAAACTGAACAAGATCATAGTTATCAGACAAACTGCAAATCTCTAAACCAATATGCTGAGCAGTAGTCTCGATATTAACTTCATAACATTTATAGAGAACATTAATTCAGAAAGAAAAATCAAAGAGAAGTCAGAAGGGGAGGGAGACAGATCACAGAATCATTCCACATGCAACCTCCTAAGTCCTAATGTATATTTTAGGACTCCCCAATGAGCATGGTTGAAGTTTAAAACTGAGTTTATTTACATCACAAATTTATGTCTAGTCAGACAATCAACATTTCTTTCCTTAATGGGAGATTTATGATAGTATGCAAATGCAAAAATTTACAGCCTTAAGCATTTGAAGGACAGCAGAGAACAACCTATCATATCTTTAAGAGGCTTTCCAATCATTATTTGCATTCACTGATCAAACCATTTTAAACACCCATGAAAACAGTATACAGTACATGCAGTCCTTCATAAATCACCCTAACTTCCTTGATCACTCCCAAACCCGACAATGCACTGCAACAGATTTAGGGCATTTCATGTCATTTGTGACCTGCCATTCAAGGGAAGCACGGCAAGCATCTCTGCTTGGTAAATTCCCCCCGCCCTCTTTTCTAGATATTATCACATTAACCCTATTTATGCATGGCTCCTAAGACACTAGGAGCTGTGCCCCCAAAAAGGCACACAACCCATGTGCCATGATCCTTGACTTGTCACAGACTGAACGGACTGAGTAAAGCTAAAAGCTCAAGGAATCATGAAAAATCAATTCCATGCCCTCATTCAACAATATTGTGTCAAACCCCCCAAAAAGTTGGATACTGCAGCACCAAATACTAAAGCTTTATTGGTCTTACAGCGGGAACAGACCTGATGTTCTGTGTGACATTGATCATGCATATCAGATCACTTTTCCAGCCATAAAACACTGGCCAGTGAACGTGACTGAGGTGTATTTTGTACCCAGGATCTACTTTATGAATTTATGTAACTTACCAAAGACTCAAAAAAGAAAATTGCATTTGGCAGGAAACTGATTTTTACTACTGTGAGTAGAAAGAGATCAAACAAGCATGATTCAATTGATATACTTTAAGAAAACAGGAATAGTACAGATACCTGATTGAGAAAGCAACAACCTGTTTTACACCTTGAAAGCTTTTCAAATGCCCATATACACGAACATACATACCATCTCTGTCATTGAATATCTTGAAAAGGTGAGAATCAAGGAGGTACCACTGACTCTTATATTCACATACAAAGTATAATCTCACCGTATTTCTTCCATTTCCTTGGAGTCAAAAGGCTCATTCACCCTAGTTAAACAATCAGAAAGGCATTCAGAATGCATTATCACAGCATTGTACACAGTAGTGTAAAATAAATAAAATAGGTCATGAATGATTTAGATATTCACAGCAAGGACAAAAACACGTTTGTCACAAATTGCTATAGCATTAGATATTCATATAGTACCATCTTCTACACGTGATCCGCCCTGTTCCATCATCCAGAACAAAACTAACGTCAGTGTTTCTGTCAACTTTCTCAAACACCATACCAACCAAGGTTACCTGAATCAAAAAGTAAATGAAACCATACCAAGTATAAGCTACGACGGATAAAAACTTATAAATTTCAAAACTATCATCTTGATATATCGTTAAATGATCATCCAGATCAGCGGAAGTAATTATTTAATTTATATGCCAGAGGCTCCATCTGGACGTAAAAGTAGTATATTTCTTGAACAAGTAGAGAATGAATCTCACATTGGTAACATCCACGCCGTTGATTAGGAAATTCGACTTTTCATCTCCAGAGTGCGACGCTTCGCTTATCTGCTTCACTGTTACTGGAACTAAACCCTGCGTGTCCCGGCTCTTTTCCCCAAAAAGGCCGTGCGTAGGATAAGGAGAACAAGTAAAACGATGAACCCAGTTAATCAATAGATAAAAAATGAGGCGAATAACTGTACCCCATAATTTCGCAACCCCATAAACATCGAAGCAACCAGTATAACAGTAAGATGTTCAAGAATCAAGCTCGAATTTGATCATATTTTGGTCTTTTCTGCAACAAAACGGACATTTAAGAATGAAAAATAGGAAAGAGAGACAGATCACTTACTTTGGCCGGTAATGGGGATGAATCGTTGAGCTGGGTAGACTCGGTTGTCATGAATCCACCGCCTGAGAAGGCGGCAGTGGCGTCGAGCTGGCTGCCGGAGAACATCAGTTAATCCAGAAAAGGGAATGGACCAGAGATCGTGAGAGAAAGAAACGCATAACTAGAGACTGGCAACAAAATGTTAAATACGAGAGATTTGAGAATGGGTTTGGAATTAGATTGTTTCCCGCCAAGAATGCTGTACTTTTCCCGCCGTTTAGGGTTTGGTGACTTCCCTGTGCCTTCTCTGATCTATCCATGATTTTCCGTGTAAATTAAGTAAATTGAGAGTTGGATCTTGGATGACAGAAAATACAAAAAAAAAAAAAAAATTAATCATTTAATTTTTATAATTTTAACTCATTTTAATTTAATTTTTAAAATTTTAATTTAATTATAAATTATTTTTTAAATTTTATTTCTTATAATTTAATCTTTAAAGTTTTAACCTCTTAAATATTGATCCCTATATTTTAAAAATTAGTAAATTAAAAATATTTTAATATTTTAATATTTATAAATATTAAAAAGGTTTAGTAATTTAAGAAATTAGTAATAAAGTTTAAAATATTTTTAATTTTTATAATTTTATTTTTTAAAATATAGAGATCAATATTTAAGAGGTTAAAACTTTAAGAATAAAATTATAAGAGACAAAACTTAAAGACTAATTTACAACTAAATTAAAATTTCAAAGACTAAATTATACCTGAGTTAAAGCTATACGATCTAAATGATTAATTTTTCAAAAAAATAATAGAAAAGAAAATATATAGGCCAGTAGAAAATATAAAATAATAAATCATACTTTTTTAATCTTATTTATAAGGTAGGCAAAGGAAAAAAAAATTTAATGTTATCTATAAGGTACTTGTTAATTTTCAATTCTTCTCTTTACATTTTATCCTTATTAAATCTTTTGAATAAAGATATTAGTAGTAAGATTTAAGAACATTTATTAATAATAAAGGTGAAAATTTATTAAATTTTAAGATAAAGTTAATACGGTTCAAGGTTTTCATTAATTTCGATAAAATACTGATTTATAAATAAGATCAAAGAAAGTATTATCCAATCTTTTCTTTATATCTGTCCTCTTGTTATAAAAAACTACTCAATTACACTACCGCACTGTTTCAAAAATTAAACCATGCCAATGTCTATAAAGTCATGGTTCAATTATATACCATTTTCCAAAGCTTTAAATCAACAGACAGACTTTTGACCTTTGCAATTCCATAAGGATTCCTATAAAGTTTTAAATTTGTATGAATGATTTTAAGAGAGTAATGCGTGAGGACTATGGAGAAAAATTAATAATTTTAAAGGATCATTGATTTCTAAAATTGCATGGAAGAATCAAGGGTTTTTGTTAAAAAAAAAAAAGATCGAAAATGTCTCTACCTAGTTAACACATGGCTTAGTTGCAAATTGCAGAAGTTCAGTTGAGAACAAGTTGTAAACAGTAAGAATTTTACAAATTTTGAAAGCTCAATTATAAACAGTAAAAAATAAATTATAAATGAGTGTAAATTATAAATCAACCTAAACACCTAATTGTTTTTTACATATTCGGGAGCGGAATAAATAAGTGTCCGAAAGCTTTCCTCTTTTTTTTTACCTCATGTTTTGTTATCGAATGGATATTCTGTCGTACATTCGAGTACTCTGTCAGTCGCGGCAGGATACCGCGACGCCGAATAAGATCAAGTAGTTTCGTTCCTCTTCTCCAAAATCGGAATTTTGAATGGAGCCCCTCTCCTCGTCTTGTGCGCTAGCACAGCAGACATGGGGGCTCGAGAACAACATCATTCCTATGGACACTCCAACTTCTACCGACCAAGCTTCCGATTCCATCTTCTACTACGATGAGACCGCCCAGAACGACTTTCAGAGTGAGAAGCCTTGGGTCAATGACCCTCACTCCTTCAAGCGTGTTAAGATCTCCGCCGTCGCTCTCCTCAAGATGGTTGTCCACGCTCGCTCCGGCGGCACCATTGAGGTCATGGGTCTCATGCAGGGCAAAACCGACGGTGATGCCATCATCGTCATGGACGCCTTTGCTTTAACCTGTTGAAGGCACCGAGACTCGGGTTAATGCCCAAGTTGATGCCTATGAGTACATGGTTGATTATTCTCAGACAAACAAGCAGGTCTGTGCTTTTAGTTTTTACTGGTTTGCTTCTTTCTAACTTCCGTCCTTGTTTATGTCTTCGGCTTTGTTTAGATTTTATAAGGATGCGCTTATAGGATTATTCGAATCATGTGAAAACCCTGGTTGCAATTATTCTTTTGTGTTGCAAGGTGAAAGTTTGAGAGCTCTTGTTTACATTGCGTTTAACACCTCAACCCTAGAGAGAGAGAGAGAGAGAGAGAGAGAGAGAGAGATAATGTTTCGCAAGCCTTATTTCTAATGAAATTACATTGCCCTTGAGTACCCCGGGCTAAATTATATAATTGAATTATTGGGCATTGGTTCTCTGTCCCATGGTTTGATTTCTCGCAAAGGGTAATGTACTCAATTGGGCTTCCTTGCAAGACCGTTTCAAAGCTTGACTGATTCTAAAGCTAGCTAACAGTATCTCCTGGTGTAGGCTGGCCGGTTGGAGAATGTTGTGGGATGGTATCATTCTCATCCTGGTTATGGATGCTGGCTTTCGGGAATCGATGTATATACGCAAATGCTAAATCAGCAGTTTCAGGAACCCTTTATAGCTGTTGTTATTGACCCTACAAGGACTGTTTCTGCTGGGAAAGTTGAGATTGGAGCGTTCAGGACATACCCAGAAGGACTTGAGCCTCCAGATGAACCTATCTCTTGAGTATCAAACCATCCCGCTCAACAAGATTGAAGATTTTGGTGTCCATTATAAACGGGTTATTCTTACTTCTTGCCCTTTCCTTTCAAGAACACGTATTCCCAGGTTGTTTGATCTCCGTTTTTGTGCTTTTTGCAGTATTATGCATTGGATATCACTTACTTTAAGTCATCTCTTGACTCACACCTCTTGGATCTGCTATGGAACAAATACCGGGTGAATACACTATCATCTTCTCCTTTATTGGGTACTGGAGATTGGGTTGCAGGACAAATCTCAGATCTAGGTATTGTTACGTGACTTACATATTACTGCAATCTCTCTTGGTTTTGTTATAAATTATAACTAGAAGTATAATTATCTCAATAGTAAAACCTCCTTATTGTAGCTGAAAAGATAGAACAAGCTGAGAATCAGTTGTCGCATTCACGCTTTGGACCACTGATACCTCCTGCTCCTAGAAAGAAAGAAGTGAGTAACTGTTGCTTTGGAAATCTACACCGTCTTCTTTCATATATAGAAATTGCTATATTTTGATGTTCCTGAGGTGTTTATTACTGTTAGTTTGAAATCAGAGACATAGTTTAAGCTGATATTGATCTCAATCCTTTTTTTTTTTTAACTCAGTCTCTTCAATGTTTATCTACTGTCTAAGCAGGAAAAAATTAGTTATAGATTGCCCAGCGCAATGTCAAGCCTGTTTCTAAGGCCAACCGTGAGAATCTATGATCAAGATATTGCTTTCTTTTCCATTGGTTTTGGTGGTTGCCCTTTCTTCTTCTAACTTTGTGAGATGATGACTATTTGGCATGTTGGTCATCTCTATAACCGTTACGAGTGTTCTACCTCAGCATGTTGTATGATCTAGGAGTTGGATCAAAAAGCCAAATATGATGTTTTGATCTAAGATTTCAATTCTTTCACGTTTCTGCGCTAACACTAAGATATAATCTTGCACCCATAGCCTTATTACTGCTTCGCATTGTCATGCATTAATTTTTGTGATCTTTTTTTTTTTTTTTATCCCCTGATTTCTTCAATGGATGATTTTTTAGAAACAACAAAAAGGAGTGCTGCGCATTTTCCCTGCTTGTGGCAGTAGATGGAGGGATTTCAGGTGAAAAATAGTGGAAAAGAAATCAAAAAATATTTACCAGGGAAGGGATATGTGATAAACCAGTTACTACAAGATATAACTAGAATGTGATGATCAGGGACTTTACATGTCTTAGAAGCCAGACTTTAATTTGATAGACATAAGCCTAATGAAAGCTTGGATTTGGGAGAGGTGAGTTGTGCTTAACATTCGTTTTCTTCTTCAGCTCTCATTTAGATATAAAGTAAAGTTACTGTATGTCCAAAGTACACAATGAGTCCATGACTGGTATCAACTCAGAGAAGTATATTCTTAACACTGGACTGTATCTGTTAAACTGTTATGCTGAAAGCCTCCTCCTTTTCATCCTCTCCTCTCCTTTTCCTCCCCAATTTAGATGATGTTGATGACTCGATGGATTTACAGGAAGAATCTCAACTTGCTAAGGTAAATCGCGACAGTGCAAAAATAACAGTGGAGCAAGTACATGGTCTAATGTCACTGGTATACATACTCTGTTTCAGATCGCGTGGCCAATTCTATGATCAAAATTTTACGTCTTATTTGAGTCTGGTTTGTGGAAGGCATTGTCTTGACCCGCTCCCTTTTTCCTTAAAGGTCATCAAGGACATCCTTTTCGACTCTGTGCGTTAGGCTAACAAGTCCCAACCTGAAACATGGGGCCCTGAACCAATGATGGAAAGCTGATTATGACGTTTATGCCTGCTAATAGGCAATAGACGAACTGACAGAAAATTTAGCGTTTCATTTTGCAAGCATTGTTGTGCCAGCCACGTATATCCCTGTTTTTCTTTCTCAGGATGAGCTGCCTTCATTCTTTTGTTCTTTGGTCCAATCCATGTTGGTAATCATGGAAGCCTGTAGGTAAACTAAGTTATCAACATCATGAACTCATTCATTCATCTAACAGAAACGAAAAATGTGTCTAATGTGATGTTTAACATACAAATGATTTTGATATTTTTCTGGCGTTACTTTTAAATGGATTGGAAGTATTGGTGGCGTTTGTTATTTGAAACAGATGACGCATGGGATTGACACCCTACCAGACATTTGTAAAAAATTCTCGACATAAACTAGATCAAATTAGTTATGAATGTACCTATGATAAACATGTCAGACGTTTTTTGGTTGCCGTGGAACTTAGGTGCAACATGTTTATATGGTTGTTTATGATCCAGCGAATCCTATTTTTTGTTAGCATGCAAATATAACTTCATTCTGTTGAAGAGAAATAGATTATATGCTTCCGCTCTAGATTAATATTGAGTTGCATGTCATGTGTCATATCAATTTAACATTAAATAAGATTTTACACTACCAAGTTATTGAGAGCGTGACTTATTTCGATTTTTATAACGTGTGGACAACATGTGTCACGTGTCAAAATCACTTCAACGTAGTCAAATGCTGAGTTAGCCGCATTGAGAAGGTGCTGCGGCAGCAGCCCATCAAGAGCGTCAAGGCCTTTTTCTTCCGAATTAAAAATTAATTTCCACAAACAAATGCCCTCCACCACAAGCTCTTGCACAGTCACCGTCATCTTTTGTTTTAGAAAATAATCCAATTTTTACCCAAAAAAGAAAAAATAAGGAAAGAAATCCAGTCTATCTGGATTTTTTTGAATAAAACTCATGAAAACTATTATAAATAAGTTGATTATATATTGTAAGAAGTATTCCCACATTTTTTAATCAACCTGCTTTCAGAAATATTCCCTTAGTGATTTTATAATAATAATAAAAAAACAACTCGTTCAGTTCGATAGAAAATGAATATATTATATATATATATATATATATCAACATATTTGTCTATGTTTCCCTGTTAAATTATCCGGGAGTTCACAATTGATACCTCAAAAAATTGAATAAATCAGACCTCATTTACTAACAAGTTATTGGCTTGACGGCTTGTCCTGCCCTCTCTAATAGATAATGGACCAATGGTCCCGGGGGGTCGAAATGCCTGTGCCACTGAAAGTTGAACGTGCTGCTGCTACATGCCTATATATTTCATTTACACTCTCTTTGGTAAAAACAATTTAAATTTATTGAGTTATGACTGTTTTGAGCGTTATGTTATGAACCCTATATATTTCCCTCTATTTGCCAATTGTCATCTGCGTCCACTTTTCTAAATCCATCTTACGCCCTTCCTAACACATAACTAATAACTTTGCCTACTCTCTTTCTTTTTATTTTCATCCTCTTCTAATTACCCTTTTTTTAATATTTCTAAGTTTAAATTTTACCTTGCCCACTTTCTCATTCTGTACTTTTTTATTTTATTTTGCAGTTGGCTAAAAAATACTTTTAATCCTTTAACTTTAAATAAAAATTTAATTTGTCATTTAATTTTGTAAAATATTTTTTAGTTTTTAACTCTGACATCGTTAATTTTAAGTGTTATTTTTTATGTCAATTATTGTTATTTTAAAAAAATTAAATTTAATATGTCAACATTTGAAAATATTTTTATTAATATTTAAAAGTTTAATAAAAAAATTTGTTGAAATAAAACTAATAATATTGAAATTAAAGGAGTAAAAAACACTTTATAAAATTAAGAAACTAAGATGAAATGTTGTGTAAAATTAAATCATTAAATGTATATTTTAGCCTTTGCATTTTTATATTGCCCGGCCCTTATTCATTTCATAATATGAGCTATTCTCCATCTTATTTCTATAACGGAAAAATCATGCGTGGAGAAGAGCAAGATGAATTCTCCACCACTTATGCCACGTATTTTTTGGCCTTAATATAACCATAAAAACATATTTCAAAACAAGAAAAAAGAAAGGGATATCTTGGTAGTCTCTCTTACAAAAAAACAGGGGGGTTTGAAAGAAGAGAAACGGAAAAGAGGGTAAGAAAAGAGACTGAGAAAACAGTTTGACGCGAAACGGAAAAAAAAAAAAAAAGAATGAAACGCCATAAATAGCAGACGAAGTGAAATTGAATACGCATGTATCTATCTCTGCCAGCACCACCCCACAAACTCACCATGGGTGGTTCTTACAAAAAGAAGCAATTTTCAATGAGCTGGAGAGTGTAGTGAACCGGAGCCATGCTTCTGAATCCAATAATAATTTCGAAATAATTAAAAATGTCAAAGTGAGCAGTTGCAGAGTTCACTTATAGCGGCACAGAACAAGTCAAGAGAAGCAATAAAATTGTCCAAGTCACTCTGCTCTGTACTAAATTTTCATATCACAATCATTTCGGTCCCCAAACAGGAGAGGCCTATATCAGACGTACTCTTCCTCTTTCTTCCTCATCATCCCCCCACTATCACCTAAAAAGCCAACCCAAGCATGCCCTCTACCAACTCCTTTTCCACTTTTTCACTAGCTTTGGTGCCTCCTTTCATTTATTTATTCATACACATGAGAAAAGAAACATTTTCTTTTGGAAGGTACTGGTGTGATACTATGCATATAGAAATGAATGAAATGATGTGGGTGATGACTATAATATCTGCCCACCAAAATGGCATTAAGATTAGATTCTCATAACATAACAAAAGGAGACGTTTTCACGAGCAACATGCTCTGGCCTTCTCTTTCGTTAATGGGGCTACCTGTTCTTGTTGTTATTGTTGCTGCAATGTGTGCATACCTGTCTCTGATACCACCTGTGACAACCTCACATGGAGCTAGACCTCATCCACAAGAATCTTCTTTTTCTAGAGATTTTGAGTCTCATGAATCAACCCCTATCTCTTGGAATCTAAAATAGCCATTCTGCTTTAAGGCCACCTTTAAGAACCCAACACTTGGTCTCTCTCCGTTTTTTTTTGTTCTCCTTTGGTTTATGTTTTTTCTTCGCTTAAGTGTTATGTCATTTCCAAATCCATGTGACTGGTCCTTCTCACGAACTTCTTCTTCTTCTCTCTGTTGTCTTTTGGTGTTTGGCTTTTTTTTCTTTTTAATTTTATGAGCCGGTCACATACCAGTATCTACATATAACAGTCATGCTCGTGAACCAAAAAAACCAACTTTCAGTGTCAAACTTTTGATCCCATCACGGCTTTCAGTGGATGACCAAAAAGCAAACACGATCCTATAACTAGGTTTCCTTTTGTTATGATTAATGCAGATGAATGGGTTTTTAGTGATGAGTTAAGTTTGTTTGCAGCTTCATGTTTGAGAAACAGAGGATTTCGTGGTGATTAACAGAGTGATCCAAACCTTGAAGATGTTGAGTGAAGGTTATTGTTTTTTTTAAGTGATGGTGATGGGTGAGAGGAATTGGTTATGTATTGCAACGTGCTTCACGGCCCGCGTAACATGATGACTAGCAAGACATTTTTAGACAAGGTTCTCTAGTGATATGTAATCAACACGATTAAACTATATTTATTACTGTGCTAATGCTTTTATAAATATTTTAAACATGACTTCAACGTCTTTCTTTGCCTGTTTGAAAGAGAGATCAACGAGGATGTAATGCTTCTTAGGTGAGATATTGTCTTTTAGCCTTATAACTAAATTAAGAAAATCTTATTGAGGAACTAATATTGTCTGGACCTATTCTATGATCGTATAATAGGCAAAATAATTATTTGATCTTCTAATTTAATACAAGATTTCAGTTTTATCCCTTGATTTAATAATTTTTTTTTTATTCTCTAACTCTAATACCATTAATTTCATTGGTATAAAATGCTGAAAAAGAATTTACAAGTGATTATTTTTGTGCCAATCATTATAATTTAAAAAATTAAACTTAATATCTTAACATTTGAGGATCCTTTGCTAGCCTTTAAAATTTTAATGTTCCCATTTTTTAGTAATAAAATTAACGAAGTTGAGGTCAGATAACTAAAAAAATGTTTTATAAAATTATGAGACCAAATTATAACATTTTGTAAAGTTGGAGAATTAGAGATAGATTCTTGCCTATATATATTAAATATTATGTGATTGGAAAAATAAAAACTAATCCATCTAATAAAAAATACAATGCATTTTTAACCCCCAATAAGTTAGCTATTTTTAAACTGATGCATCTTTTTATATCTTTTCTTGTTTAATAGAATGTCCCACTTAAAAGTGAAAGGTTGGGTGATTTATTTACTAAGAATACTTTAAAAAAATAATTACCTATGAAAATCTAAAAACATCTTATATTTTTTCACATGTAACCTCAAAGAAACTATAATTGTCAATTAGAGTCGAGTTAATTGGGACAAAAAATTTTAAGCCCAAGAATAGTTAAGGCTAGGCTGTTATTTTAAAGTAGAAAATAATAATTTAGGCTTAAAAGAACCGACCCTTTAAAACCCTTTTATTTTTTAAAAAATAATATAAAAAATAAAAGACTAAAAGACTAAATATCTAACTAAAAGAAATGAAAACACTAGACTTGGTCATATAATATTAGTAAAGTCTATTTTTTTATTAGCGTTGATTTTGATGTTACTGTTTGATATTAGACTTAATGTTTTGTTTTGCATGTTTGTTGTGATGTAGATTGACTTAAATTTATTTTCTTAAACTTAATTTTATATGTAATATTTTTTTAAGATTATAAATATATTATATTTTAAAAATAGAGCTAAGGCTTATAGGGCCAGCTCTTTAACCCTAAAATCTAAAGTCAAGTTTCACAAAATGAAGCCTTAAAATACAATTTAGCTTATCAAAAATAGCTCGATTAGGTTCAGACTCTTTGGGCTCGTTTGATATGCAGCACTGAAAGATGGGGATTGGGATTGGGTCAGAGTAATCCCACCTTTTACATGTTTGGTATGAGTGGTTCACCAGCATTTGGGATTGCTCAGTCCCACTTAAGTGGGAATACTGAAACCCACTGCCTCTCATGGTATTGTTCAGTCCTACTAAAATTAATCCTGGGATTGAAATTTTCCTCACCAAAATAGCCTCCTAAAAAGTAAAAATATTAGACTCCCTTCTCCTTAACAACTCGAGCACGTTCACCATGGACGACCTC